AGGTCTCCCAGCCAGAAAACAACAGAGCTGAAAATACGGACTTGAACCATCTGTATTTTTCTGTTGCCAGGTCCTGGAGAACCTATCCCACTATGCCTGCTGCACTGTGACATGAACAAGTCACTTAGCCTCTTGAATCCTCAATTTGCCCAGAACAAGAGAGAATTGGTGGATGTATCAGTTAGCTTTTACTTTGTAAGAAACTGCCCAAAATTTACAACAACTGTTTTATGTAGCTCCTGATTCTATAGTACGTCCTGGTGGCTGTTCAGGTCAGGACTGGCTCAACAGATTTCTACTGGACTTGCTCATGTTTCTGTGGTTGGCTAGTGGGTCTAGGATGATCTGGTATAGCCTCACTGATAGTGTTTGGTAGATCATTGGCTGGAGATTGGCTGCTCATCAGGTGGGGCACCTTCATTTCCCTCTGCAAAGCATTTCATCCTCCAGAGGGCTTGATCAGGCTTGTATACCTGGTGCTATCAGGGTTCTAAGCACAGAAAGAGAGAAACTTCACTGAGCATGCTCTTTGGAAATCTTTGTGATGTCAAGTTTGGTATTCTCTCATTGGCTAAAGCCAGTCTCAAGATGTGGCAAGGCAGCTTCTGAAGTTGTTCCCAATAATTCCTACTTTTTTTTTTCCTTAGAGAGAGAGAGAGAGAGAGAGAGCGTGAGCAGGGGAGGGTCAGAGAGAGAGGGAGACACAGAAGCTGAAACAGGCTCAAGGCTCTGAGCTAGCTGTCAGCACAGAGCCCAACGTGGGGCTTGAACCCACGAACCATGAGACCATGACCTGAGCTTAAGTTGGACGCTTAACCGACTGAGCCACCAGGTGCCCCAATAATTCCTACTTTCTGATATTCATGTCCTCACAGTGTCCCCTGTGTGAGGATTGGATCTCATGATTTGCTTCTAATGAATAGAATTCTGTAAAAGTGATGGGGTATAACTTCTAAGATTAGGTTATAAATGACTGGTGACACTCTCTTTGACTCTTTCTATGTGCTTGCTCTGGTAAAGCAAGCTGCCATGTGTGAACTGCCTTATGGAGAGGTCCATGTGGCAAGGGACAGAGAGAGCCCTTAAGCCAATAACCAGTGATAAACTGAGACCCTCAGCCCAACAGTTCCTTGAAGAACTGACTCCTGCCAACAACCAGTGAGTAAGTGAACTTGGAAGCAGACCCAACCCCTACTGAACCTCTAGATGACATTGCAGCTCTGCCCCCACCTTCATTGCAGTCTTGTGAGAAATTTTCAAGCAGAAGACATAACTTAGTTATGCCCGACCCACAGAAATTGAGCTGTTTTAACTTTGTAGTGATTTGTTATATAGCAATAGGTAACTAATACACATAGCTAAGTTCAGAGTCAGTGGGGAAGGTGAGTATCCTACGGTATGGTTATAGGAAAAGTAATTATACCAACTATTCACACATATTTGCAAACAATTTACTACAGTTTTCCAGCCTTTGGGAATCTGAGGTGGAATCATTTTCACTGCTTCAACAATTATTTATTCTCTGTGCTAAGACCTGGGAACAAAATGGTGAACAAGACAGAGTTCCTGCCCTCAACGAGCTTACAGTTTGTGGCAGGGGAGGGGAAGAATGGGGAAGAACATTAGTTCAATAATTTATTCTTTAATTATTTGTTTAAAGTGATATTAAGGGAGAATGTGGTTAACTGTCTAGGTTGGTCAGAGAAAGCTTCTTTGAGAAAGTGGCACTGCCTTTGAAGAGGCAGGCAGAAGAGAAAGAGAGGGAAAGAGGAAAATTCCAGACTGAACGGTGGTGACATTCTTAAAGGGGGGGATTGAGAAGTGGTCAACAGATATGGGACAAGTTCCTAATTATGATCTAATTATGTATCTTATTATGTAATAATGTAATATTTATTACATAATAATGTAATGTAATAAAATAATAATGTAATAATGATTTTGTGAGTTATGGTTTGAGAGATAAATGCAAAAATATTTATGGATGAAATTATTTGCTGTCTGGGATTTGCTTCAGAACAATCCAGTGGCGGGGTTGGGGTCAGGAGTGGGTGGAGCTATAAGTGAAACTAGAATGAGTTAATAAATTTTTGTGTATTTTTCATTTTCCATAATAATACTTAAAAAACTGTATCTTGGGGTGCCTGCATGGCTCAGTTGGTTGAGCACCCAGCTCTTGATTTTGGCTCATGGCTCATGGGATTGAGCTCCATTTTGGGTTCTGCGCTGATAGTGTGGAGCCTGCTTGGGATTCTTTCTTTCCTTCTCCCTCTCTGCCCCTCTCCCCATTTAAAAATAAATATTAAAAAAAAAACTTGTATCCTGACAACACATCCTGAAGGTTGTATGTATATATGTTTGAGAGGTCACAGGACACTTATTTCCTCCTGCTCCACTGCAGAATAGAGGTTAATAGCATCTTTAGGGCAAGGGGATGGAATGAGTTTTGTGTTACAGAAAATGTAATGGCTTCTCAGCTTCAAATCTTGTGGCTAACATAAAGAAGGATATTTGGGTAATTTACCTTGCCTCCTGGTTAAGGTGCTATATTGCATTATTTCTTATGCTCATTTTTCACTAGATAAGATGGTATGGTTTCATATATAATAGAATCTTATAACATGGATTTCACCCTAGAGTGAAAGGCAGGGGACGGAGGCTGTTTAAATATTAGTAAAATGCTGAAAAGATTCTGTTATAAGGCCTCATATAATATCGGCAGTATTAGAGAGCTTATGGGTTGGGGAAGGAGAAAGATTGGGTAGAAGAGATGGAAATCCCCCTTTGTTAAAAAAAATTCTGGGTTGGCTTGTTACAGCAATACTGGATTATGGATTTATTTGATGAAGTTTTCCTTTTACTCATGTTATTCTGATGTGGGTCAGACTGTGAAATTAATAGCCAGAATAGATAGGTTTTATGAATCGGGGATGTATTTCATTAGGATTTTTTTCAGGAGAGGGGCACCTGGGGCTGAAGCTGAAGAGAAGATGCTTCATATTTATAACTGTTTCAATGTTAGGTTATTGGGGGAACTGTATTTTGTGATTTTGGTTTAGACCTTTCTTGAAAATTCCTTTGGCACCAGATTGAGTCTCTCCCTAACCCCTAATAAATGAAGACTTCACTAGAGTCAGATATATGCAAATTACATTTCCCTTCTCAAGCCAAGGTTAAATAAAAGGGAAAATTATGAAAGATTGCTTATGGCAGCAAGGATTTTCAGTGCCTGAAGATGAATTTCGTTATTTCAAAACCATGGTGAGTCTCCTTGTCAGTGCAAAGCAGGAAAGGAATAAAGTAACGGAGAGAGTGGACCTGGGCGTAAACATGTTCCCACACAGCATTTGTACTGAACGGCTTTGTTGTTGTTCCCTGGACCTTGGCAATTACAGGCATTTTTCCTTTGCTCTGAAAAACGTCTGGCAAACACTGAGAGTAGGTCCCCTCCTTTTCTGTGTTCAAGGCTAGGTTCTGGCCTTGTTGCAGGGAAACACTAATTCCCAACCACGCTCCCTGGGAGCAAATGGTTTGTTTTCTCTTCACTGAATCCAGCCCAGGGTGGGTTCTTAGCAGCTGAGCTTGGCATGGAAAATCTATTTGGAGCAACTCGTCCCCAGGAGGGAAGAAAGCAAGCTGATTGTGCAGAGGAGTTGCAGCCACCATCCAGGTCAGCCACACTCACTGGCCAGTGCAGGCATCCACACACAAAGGCACACACAACAGGCCACGGCAGACAGGAGGCCTGTTTGTGTGTCCACACCCACATGTACCAGGCATACCCAGCTCTACCCATATATGTACTGCGCACCCACACTTGACACATAGTCACAGATACCACAATGACACACAGACACCACACACATATACAACCACATCCACCCCCATATCGTGTACAAATACACACACATACACAACGGCACATACTACACAGGCCACATATACTCTACCCCACCCCACCCCCCACAATCGACATTGGTCATATACACCCATACCACACACTCCTGTATACACACACCTCATCACACACCATGTAATGTCACATGCATCACGCACAGCACACACATTCCATATATACCATGTACACACTTTAACACATCCAACTACACACACATACCCACCACACATTCTCCGCATAGCAGTCATACACACTCACATACCACACACACACCCCCACCCATGCAACACATTCCACACACCCGTCCTGTGCACCACAAATGCATCTCTCTCCGAGACACAGGGTTGCTTTCCCGCTCAGCAAGGGGGGGCTGCAGTCCCCGCCGGGACTGGGGCGGGCGGCCGCGCTCCGGGCCGGCGGGCAGTGGTTACCTCGGGCAGCGAGGCGCGGGGCTGGGGTCCGGGACGGGTTACTGGGGCCCCCGAGGCGGGGCGGAGGGGCCGCACCGGGAGTAGCAGGCCTGCCCCGGGGGAATGCGCGCGCGCCTCCGAGGGGCCTCTGCGCCCACTCCGGGAGGTGTGTACGGGGTGGGGGGGGGGTGGAATGTGAGTCGCGCGCGGGGAGAGACTGTGTGCGAGAAAAGCTCGCTGGCAGATGCGCGAGGACCAGCCCACCGAGCAGCTCGGGTGGGCGTGTCCTCGGTGCGCCCGGCCCTCGGGGGAGTTCTCCACACAACCCAGCTCAGCTGGAAGTGTGTGTGGGAAGCGCGCGCGTAAGCGGCGGTGCCTTGAACGCCAAGCCGCCGAGGCGTGTGTTTGTTCATAATGGCCGTCCGTCGGTCGGGGTCGGTCTCGGAGGAATGAATGCGTGCGTGTCAGAGACTCGCTGTGACAGGAGGGGACGCCGATACTGTGTGTGAAGAGGCCAGCCTAGCCGAGGGACGCCGAGCATCGGCGGGGCCAGTCGGCGCGCGCGCGTGTGTGCGCGTGCGTGTGCACGTGGAGACGCGGCGCGCGCCGCGGCGGAGGGAGGGAGGGAGGCAGGCGGCGGCAGGCCCAGCCCCCGGTCGCAGCGCCCGGGGCGGCTCCTCTGCGAGCCTGGGACCGCCGTGCTCCCGCCGCCGCCGCCGCCGCCGCCACGCGCTGGCGTGACTCCCGGCCCGCGCCCTCCCACGTCTGCAGCCGGCTCGGCTTTCTGCCCGCCCAGACGCCGCTTCTCCCGGCTCCCGGCCCTCGGCTCCGCGGAGGGAGCGGAAATGAGTGCGGCGTCGGCGTCGGCGCCCGAGCGGGGTTGGAAGAGCGAGAAAGTGGACGAGGCTCAGGCCCTGGCGCGGAGTTGCGCTGCCCGAAGACCCGACTTCCAGCCGTGCGACGGGCTCTCCATCTGTGCCACGCACAGCCACGGCAAGTGCTTCAAGCTGCACTGGTGCTGTCACCTAGGATGGTGTCACTGTAAGTCGAGCCGCGTCTCCCCGCCTTCCGCCGCCGTCCCAGGGCGCTCGGTGTCCCGGGTCGCGGTTGGGACTCTGCGGTCGCGGGGGCTCTGGGCTCGGCGGGCGCCCCCTCAGCTGCTAGGCTGCAGCCACCCTGGGCTCCCGGCGGGCGGGCGGGAGGGAGCTGCCCGAGCGCCGGACGCCTCGGTTGGCGCTGCCGTGGCAACGAGATGAAATCCCGTGGGGAGCCTAGCTTTAGCCACTTCTACAAAAGGGATCTCCCCGTCCCAGGAAAACTGGAATCTGTTTTTTTTTTTTTTCTTTTTTATCTGAAATCACCAGGCACTGTGTTGAGAAATGGTAGAGCGCCGTGAGAGTTGACAACCAGAGGGGAAACCTTTTTTCAGGGCTAGTGGTTAAAGACGCTCCCCTTTCTTTCTCACTTTTGTCTTTTCCAGGCTGCTCGTTAAAAGGAAGAGCCCTTGGAAATCGAATTGTGGCCCATTTATTGTATCCAAATTGAGAAAACACTGAAGTGTAAGGGACAGCTTACAAGAAGTTAATATTAACAGTTTGGAAGGGTGAACTCCTTCAATACCCAGTTGTAGCATATAGAGCCAACATACGAGATTGTTTTAAAATTACAAAATAAAATAATTAAAAGTAAGCTTTAATCATCTCTATCCAGTTTACAAAAGCCAGAACTAAATGGTCTAGACCTTTTCTCTATGTTTATCTTGCCTGTGATTTTTAAAACGTATTAAATTCAAGTAGCCATTTAATCAGAATTCCACCCACAATTTGATGAGTTCATGATATTAGGCCTGCTGTATCCAATAAATGGGTTTTTTTTTTTTAAAGAAATATGTTATAAACTTGAGTTTCCACATACCCTTATAGTAGAGGTTTTTGGAGTGTTTATTCAGGACACAAATTCTCGAAGTGATCTTAAGTTAAAATTGTTTTTTTCCTTGTGGGTTAGGAAAAAATGGCTCCCAACAAGAGATGCAGTACACTGACAAGCCCTTGTTTACGTTAATTGAACATAGGGGAGTATTTTAAATTGAATTTATGATTTGAAGACTAGGAGAATTCCTGCCTTTTCTTTACCTTGAACAGTATTGATTTTTTTTGTGTTGTGTGCTGATGGGTCAGTTTCCTCCTATATTTCATTATTCCTATTGCTCTCAGATCCATTCCTCATTCTAAAGCACCATTTCAGCGGGGGACAGGATACAAAGTTGGAAGTAGCAACTGTAGGAAAGCTGTGATGCTGAAGCGCACAAGTACAGTGAATCTGGTGAGAGTCCATTTTCTAGGGAAGTATAGATTCACAGCACAGAATATGTGGAACATTAAAGACGGTCAGTCGGTCCCTGTCTTATTTCAGCAGTCTCTCCACCAGATACAGCACTCCTGAGGGGAACCTTTCAGTCTCCTCAGACAGCTTTGATTCCTAAAATACTCTCCTGTGGAGCTAAAACCAGTTACTTTCTAACTTCTTTCCACTGGTCTTATTTCTGCCTTATGAAATCATGTAGAACAGTCTAATACTTTCCTAGATGATGTTTTTTCCAGCTCTTCAGATATGCATATGATTGTTCCACGGACATAGACTATCTTCTGTCTGTATCCCCAGCCATTGTCACAGTGTCTGGCTTGAAATAGATGTGAAATTCGTGTTCACTGAGTGACTGAATGAAAGTAGCCATCATTTTCCTCTCAAGGCATGGTTTTGTGCTGTTTATAAATCTCTTATAAATCTTCTGCCTCTCCTTGTGTGGAAGAGTAGCCAGGCTCCTGAGCATTCTGGTTGTTCTGTTCTGAATGTGTGCCGGTATGGTTATGATCTTTTGAAGACTGTGACCCTTAGAAGGGTACGTAATATCCCAACTGTGGTTTGAGTCGAGCAGGACTGCTGTCTCCTGTGTTTGAGACCCTGCTACTGCTGCATCTAGCAGCACATTAGCTTTCTGATATCCTCATCATATGGAGCTTGCTGCTATCAGATTGAGCTAAGGTTGCTGTCAACTAAAGACAGCAAGCTCTTTTTTTGTTTGTTTTACATATGTGGCAGTTAAGTCATGGCACTTGCTCATCTCACAGTTATATGTGTATTTTTTTGGACTCTGATACCTTAGATATTTTCCCCATTAAATTTCTTCTTAATTAGAATTACCCATTTATCTGACTTACCGTTTTTTCAGATCCCAGCTCTTTCTTAATATATATTTGAGCCCCCTTAGTTTCATGTCAGCCATGTATTGGATGCCAACAGTAGTATAGTAACCTTTTGCGTCTTCATTCAAATTATTGATAAAATTGTTGAAGAGGAGAAGGCAACAGATAAGAATCTTGGAGCTTGCAGGTAGAACTGACCTTTAAGTTGATGGCAATTCATTAAGAAGCACTCATTGTTATGGTCATTCAAATAATTAGCCATTTAATGTTGTATTTATCTTATCCATTTGGCGTAATGAGAGCCTGGTCATATACCTTGTTGAAATCGTGCCTCGTTGATATCTGACGCTGTTTTAATTGCTCCTTTTTAATATATGATCTGTATATAAACACACTCTCTTTAAAAAAGAAGGGAAACTTGATGAATCTGGTTACTGTTTGGTTCCACAAATGCTTATTACCATTTTATTTTCTAAGTGATTAGAAGTTATTTTCTAAATAAATGATCTGAATTAGGAAAGGATTGATATCGAGTCTATTGGACTGTCATCTTTTCTTTAAAAATCAGATCTACATTTATTTGCTTGTTTCCAGTCTTTGGCAACCCTCCAGGTATCCATGCTTCCTCCACTGGCAGCAATTCAGTGATCACATTCACAAGAAGCTTCATTTCATTGAGAGCAGAAAGGTGCTTTGTTACAGTCTTCTCCCTATACTGGGAATCAATTCTTTCTACCCCTTTTTTAGTCCAAATATCATTCTTCTTGAAAAGAAGCAGAGCTCACACATTTCAGAATTTCTACTTTCTTTTTGGTACTCATGAACATTACAACATCAGTCCTAAGCAGAATTTTTAAATTCTGTTGAATGTATGTTGAGCACCTTTTCTTTCCGAGATATTATGATGGAAGCTAGGGATATAAACATGAAAACAGCTGGACCATGCCCTTTATGCAGAGTATAAGGACATGACTATATTTATTTTTGTATTCCTTTAAAATAACAAATGAGGGACGCCTGGGTGGCTCACTTGGTTAAGTGTCCAACTTTGGCGCTGGTCATGATTTCATGGTTCGTAGGTTCAGGCCTGCCTTAAGCTCTGAGCGGACAGCTCAAGATTCTGTATCTCCCTCTCTCTCTGCCCCTCCCCTGTCCCCACTCTGTCTCTCTCTCTCTCAAAAATGAATAAACATTAAAAATTAAAAAAATAAAATAAAATCACAAATGATATGGGTGAGAAACCTATCAACTTGTTCACCAAATCAAAAAATGGTAAAATGAGAGGACCACTTTGATATTTGGGAAAGGAATTTCAGAACAAATGAAGAAAGTTTCTCTATATATAGTTTATGTTAAACTTGTGAAATTCATAACCTTAGGAAATAGAAAAGACCGAAAATATGTACATCTTCATAAAAGACATGTAAAACATGTATATATTCATAGATGTGGTACTTGATGTATTTTTAAAGGCAACAATGTATTTGGATAATGGCAGATTTTGAGAATCGTGTCTGGGAGGAAAACTATGATATGTTTGTAGGTGTCACTATCAGAGATAGTTATTGAGTTGAAGAAACCGTGGCCCTGAATGTGTAACTTTGTTTCACCGCCACCCCCACCCCCCCAGTAAGGAGCGATATTGGATGGAATTAATAAGTGAAAGATTCCAAGAGGACTTTTGAGAGAAAAAAAGACATAGCTTGGCTGGGGAAGAGGAATGGGAAAGAAGAAATCATATGCAAATATATAGTAGATTTTGTGGCTAGGTAGGTAGAACATGGAGAAAGCATAAGAAATTAGATTGTCGAGATGTAAGGGAGGGATGAACAGGGAAGGTGAGAAGTCTGAAGTTTCAGTTGGTAGAGACCTTAACATTATTGCAGTTATATGGACAGTAGAGGAATGAAACTAGCAAGGGAGATTATTTTTATTTTGATATTAGTGTATAAAATAGATAGGAATTCATGCAATAATATACCTAAATGGAAATTGGAATGGATCATATTTGGAGAGAGAGGAAAAATTATAAAGGATAACTTCTAGACTTCTGCCTCACGCAAATGGGATGGATGGTAGTGCCATTCGTTCACTAACAAAAAGAAAATATTGGAGAAGAACTAGGGTTTGGCTGAGCATGGATTGTGAATCCAGTTTTGAATCATGAATCCAGGGAGACCGTGAATTCAGTTTTGGATCTGTTGAGTTTAAGCTGTCTTGTCACCACATAGTAATTTGAGTAGGCAGCTGGATGCAGGGATCTAGAACTTATAGGAGAGGTCTTCACTAGAGATATTATCAAAGTCATTTACTTATTTTTATTTATTTAAACAAATTTTTTTAATCTTTATTTTTGAGAGAGAGAGTACAAGCAGGGGAAGAACAGAGAGAGGGAGACACAGAATCTGAAGCAGGCTTCAGGCTCTGAGCTGTCAGCACAGAGCCGGATGTGGGGCTCAAACTCATGAGCTGTGAGATCATGACCTGAGCTGAAGTCAGATGCTCAACCAACTGAGGCCCCCGGGTGGCCTATTTACTTATTTTTAGATTACAGTTGTGGCCATAGTGAAGCAAGAAGATCACCAAGGGAGGGGCTATAGTATGAGAAATGAAAAGGTTTTTTTGCATATTTTGTTGTAGGAAGCCAAGGGAAATGAGTGTCTTAAGAAGGAGTATGAAAATTAGGGGTGCCTGGCTAGCTTAGTCAGAGTGTGTGGTTCTTGGGGTTGTGAGTTTGGGCCCCATATTGGGTATAGAGATTACTTAAAAATAAAATCTTTTTTTTTTTTTAAATGTTTTTTATTTACTCTGAGAGAGAGAGAGAGGGTGAGCAGGGGA